GTTCTTAGCCAAATGCATGCGAAGGCGTTGTTTGAAGTATGAACGCGATGAATTCGAAGCCGTGAAGTTTGAATGAAGGAGGTTCTTCTCTTTTATTATGGACACTTACTCAAGTAAGCTACATTTCACTGTCATTATGAGGTTTTTAGCCGAGTGCTCACTACAGCTCTGTTTTAGGATTAGCATTCCGGATTACCGTTAGAATAGGCAAGACTTTTCGAACTGAGAATTGAGCCTCATTTCAACAGTGAAATCAAACTTATACTCCAGAGAAAATCTGAGAATTTGCAACCATGTCTAAAGTTCAGTCTAGAAAACTGTTCTGTGAAATTTGTAACCAAAAAGACGAAGAGGACTATGTAATTTGTTGCGAATTTATGTAACTTAAAACGTGATATCAACTCGAAGCATTTGTATGGCTTCCTTTACTTTTACGGGGACTCTTGCTCTATAGAGAAACACAACTGAGTGCTCGCCACAGAAAATTTCTGACGTATGAACAACGTTTAAAGAAAAACAGATTAGAAATTATGCAATGCTCATGAAGAAGACGGGATAGCTTAGTGGAGACAACGATATGTACTCATACAAAGATTGTTGTTTTTTTCTGTGCTCAATTTACGGTGAACACAATAGGGAATACAACAGCAAGTAGTTTCAAGAGATTCCTGATTTTTTTTCTCTTTCATAAATCACATATTTCGTATTAAATTTGCCATACTATTGCGTATGAAAGTAACAGATTTGCACCACCGTTTCAGACAGATTTTCAGCGTCCTGCCTAGAGCACGAGGCCGCTAAAAGTGAAGAGGGTCATTCGCATTAGTGTTCTTATTTAGATTGTGAAGGTTAATTGTCAAGGAACAGTTTTAAAGTAGTCTGACAATAGTTTTTTCCCCCTTATAACGTATTTGAATAACTCTTTCCAGTACTTTTAACAAAGTGAAACGATTTATTGTAAGTGTTTATATGTTCAGTAATCGCAACTTTCTATAAGAACAATTCAACAACAACATTCGTAGTCCAGATAACCAATCGATATGAGTACCCTTTAGACACAAAATCAAGACTGAAGTCTTCGAGATACCTTATCATTCTTTTATAGAGTTTTTATGCCATGGAGTCACTTTTACGACGCAGTGTTAAAAGTATCCGTCCTTCACCTTAGACAAGCATTAGATGATATGATATTACAGGTTTAGGTTTTCGTCGAGATCCCTCACGTCGTTAAGAATTCTAAGGTGTGAGCCAAGGAACGACATTGTATACCATTAGCTAGGTAGGATAAATCACTGATTCTATATCCTTTGCTACTGTAATTGACTTCCATTAACTTTAGATTAACTTCTCTTAGCAGTCGAGTCGATAATAGTTAGAACTCACGTGCTTTAGGTCAATTATTTCATGTTAGTGCAATAACTGAAGTACAAATGTGACATTTTCAGGTCTGGTTAAAAACGAAAGAAGCACATAAATGACCATAAATCTCAATGCGTAAATCTTTGGTTAGTAATGCAGATGTAGCACATGTCGTAGAAATAGAGAATAAAATAGAGAATAAAATAAATCTTTCATAACTTACAACTGGATGCTCGGTTTTCCGGTGTATCGTTCGAGAGAACGTTTATACTACTCATAAGTGATACTCATAGAATGTCTCTTATTTAGATGCAAGAAATAAATGTAGTAGTAAATTAACACTAAAATTTGATCCATTTTCTCTACAGACTCAATGATTTTCCTTGGCTCTGCGTCCTGCCTCCCTGACGCATAAACGCCCCGAAGGCACAAAAAATTATTCACCGCAAGCGTTTTGTAGGACGCAAAGGTCGATCGATCGATTTAACGATGTTTTGAGGAATATCCTGTTCAAGTAATTTTAAATCTGTAGTAAAACGAGAGTAGCATCGCCTGCCTATAAATTTCGTCCAGAAGTAATTTCTCGGCGAATCCATGTAAATACTTCAACAAAATTTCTTATATTTCAATTGCTGCCATTTTGATTTGCCTTCATGGACTTGGTTGATCATTATGTTTACCATGTATGGAAAACATGTGGTTGAACTGGGTAATTGGACGACAATGGTTCGGCAATTAAGAGTTCGCCTTTTTATCGCCTATTAACACTGAAAATGTTTCAAGAAACGCCACTCAAAAGGTTTTTTACAATTTCTGCCCATGGGCTATACGGAACATGGGCTTTGGGTAATAATTGTGTATTCACCGCTTGCTTAGCGCCCACGCCTCAGGTTTGAAGAGAACGGATTGGTTACCAAGACTTAACAAATGCCGATCGAGTTCTTAATCAAAACAAAGGAAATTTCCGGCCTATCGATAAGAATTATACGGTGAGAATTTACCAAAAAATACGAAAGACTGCTTCAGTGTAAACAATTCAAGAATTAAAAGTCCATTTCATCTCACGTTTTTTTTCCGTTTTTCCACATCAGGAAGGACTGCCGCTAGTTCAGTGGTCACTTTTCAAAGGGCTTTGATTGTCCCCTAATGGTCATCTTTCCTGCATTTACCAAACGTAAGCGTTGCCACATTAAGTCAGAATCCATTAGGTAATTGTCAATGAGTGATTCTAATTTTCAGTGGACAAAAAAACCTTGTACCAGAATATTTAAGCCATATCGCATTCTTTTTCACACTTTTCAAGGGCTATAGATGTAATAAGTTATCTGTAATAACACCAAAGACAATTTCTAACGGGAGACCAAGAAAATAATCTCAAATTTCACAAGAATAGAGAAAACACACGTAAAATCTTCATTCCTTTTGAAGTTTGTTTTCTCGGGCTCCAATAAGAACCTTTTCGTCGGAGTTATTTCCTACGACTTATTACATTGATAGCCCTTGAAAAGTGTGAAAAAGAATGCAATACGCTTGAAATTATTCTGGTACACGGTTTTTTTCCACTGAAAATTAAAATAACTGAATTGGCTAATGGATTTTGTATTAATTTTGCATACACGTGGCAGAAAATAGCCACTTTCTTGGACATCCCGTTGTAGATTTCCTGACTTTTCTAACTCTTGTGCCAACATGTATCATTTACTAAAATGATCCATTGCTTTTCTTGTATTCTTAAGTGCTGCATTGGTAAAAAGGTCCCAATAACGATCTTGTCAAGCGCCGGAAATTCTTAATTTTAAAACTCCATTAAATTTCCAATATCATCCCCTGTTCTACAAAGTACTTTAAATTCGGAGTATAACATTCATGACGTCCTTTGTTCAGCACGAACCCCGTATAGTTTTGGACAACTCTTGAGAGTAACTAAGACTCCATGTATTTAATTACTTTTTGTTAGCTAGTCCATATAATGTTTTGGTAGCATAGTTCTATCTACTCCCTTTTTGTATGCTCACAAGCCTATCATAGGCTAACTTTGACTGAATTGTTGCCAAACACGAAAGGCTACTCTAAAATAATTGTGGTGGATTGATCTCTCTCTACAACACCCAGTGATGCTGAAAGAGTACTTTTACTGCCGACTGAGTACAGTCAAAATACAGGCAAAATATGAAAAAACCGCTCCATTTTTGTTCTTGGTAAAATAGTTTTGTTGACTCTTTTTTGCATTCTCAAAGGCCTGTTATAGGGTTCGTTTAAAAGGTTTTCAAGCACTCAGGGGGACCCAACGAATGCTTTCTGTAAAACATCTGTTCGGAGAAGCAAATATTGCCTAGAATTTTCTATTACTTGAGGACGGCTACTAATTTCTACATGTTTGTAGATGACCGTTCCATCCATGTACAATTTTCGAAGCTTATCTAATAAATTCCCTACGATTTTCTGAAGTTTAATTTTCACATTTCACTTCCCAAGTTAGCCTATTTTTCGTGGAAAAAAGGAAAGCTAAAATTTTCGGATTCAAAAATTCTATAAGAAAATATCGTACTTCAAATTGCATCTAAAATTATGGGGAAAATAATACGGAAGCCCTTGTAATTTCGAAAAGACTCCATTTCCCCTAGGATGACCGGACAGATACAAATTTTATAGCTCCACTTAGAATGCATTTGTATAGATCTTTCTACGTATTAAGGAGGAAACCGTCGTTGGGTGCCCCCGAGCACTGTTCAAGTATGCAGGACAAAAGAGCATTTATATTAAGTAATATTTAATACAACCTGCGAAAATTTGTAAAAGCTACTCTAGAATTCTGAATTCTTGCAGATACAATTTTTTCTACTGACAATACTGTGTCGTGCTGTAACAATTATGGCACCTTTTTTTTTTGAAATGTATGAAAATAAACTGTATATGCCACGGAAAATAACAACTCATGAGTCATTTCAATTAATTAAACCACCGCACAAGTGGCAGCTAAGAAAACGGAAGCTTCTAACAGAGGAAAGTAATTGAGGTGGTCAACGAGAGCAAACAAAGGAGAGGGTAATTCAGCGACACGGCGGGGTTTATCATCATTTGAGATTCTTAAATAAACAATATTGCTTGCCAAGGAAGGAGGGCCTTTAATGGCGTGATTCTAAGGTTATTGCTCTTTTAAATAATTAATTTTCAGTTGATATTACTCCGTGAGAGGGAAAATAAATACCGTCCATTAGTTGTGGTAGATTAAAAACGGACGCCTGATCCAGGGGTAGCCTGAGTATCAGGCTAATCCAGGGGCGGATCCAGGATTTTTTTTAGGAGGGGGTGCACTCGTCTCTTGCTCTAGTTCAACACCAATAAATCACGTAGTTTTTTTTGCAGAATACCAGTTGTATTAGAAAACCGCAGGTCATCTCGGGGAGGGGGGGGGGGCGCACCCCCTGCACCCTCCCCCTATATCCGCCTCTGTGATCTTGAGCTAGGTCGAAATTTTTCTTCCCCGATATAACTCGATTGAATAAGTTCAACGAAGCGTTCATCTACGAGAAGAGGGTGACATGAAAGTGGCATTAAATGAAATTTCACAATCCTCGATCTTTGTAACTGCGGGGAATTGCTTCATATGTCTTTTTATACTTTTTACGATCTGTGGCGATGTGCCCGTGGAAATCGTGCTCTTGTACTATCCATACTGGCCTCTTGGAAAAATCGCTTGCAACACTTTGAGTTCAGTGTTTGTGGCTCTTGGAAGCGCGTCTGTTTGTCACCTTTGTGTCACTGGTGTTGACCGTTTCTTGGCAATTTCACATTCTTTGCGATACTCCAGTGAGCGACATTTCACCTTCTGTCATCGTTTCCTTGGTCTTCCTTTGGGTTTTTGCCTTTTTGAGTGGAACTGCAACGTATTTCATCTGGACGCAGCTAAACCCAGAGGCATGTTCTGTGTTAACAGCTCCTTTGGAGAGCACTGTAGTCTTTTTGGTTCTTGACCTACTCTTGCTATCGGTCATTTGTGTCTTCATGTACGCCAAGATATTTCAAATCTCTCGACAGCACGCAAATAGACTAAAAAGAACTACCCCAGGTTAGAGGTTAGGTCAACGAAAAGGGAGACTCTTTCATACTGGTAAGAAAATCAACCAGAACATTAGGCCTCCTTGTTGGAGCTTTCGCCACCGCGCATTTACCTTTTCTTGTCTTCCATGCCTTGGATGGGGCTTTTGAAGAGAAGCTACCCCATCGCCTTTACGTTGGTAGTGTTGTGAAGTGCCTAACTTTTACCACCGTCTACGCTTAACTGGGCACTGTATGGATTTCTAAATCGGGAGTATAAAAGGGCACTGATTAAGCTTTTTGGTGTTTTGGGATTTAGGTGTTGAATTTTTCGCAGGGGAGTAAGCCCAATCAATAGTGGTGTTGCTCGTACTGTTTCCATGGCCGGTAAAAACAACTTTTGAACTTAACATGTTCATCGCCGCACCACTGAAAGTACCTCATTTACACATCGACATCAATCCATTACATTCAAACATCTCTATTAGAGTCTAGTTCGACGGGTAGTGTTCCGCACAGCTCATCATGTGGGCAGAGATAGCGTATTCTTTGGCACTGATTTAAGGAATTCAACATGTCTGCCCAACTTCATCCAACATTGCGTTATGCGAGTACTGGGTGATGGTGGGTGATGTAAGATTCAGGTTGGACGGTCCCACTCTCCCATTTTCATAATCTTCTGGCTTTATTATCCTTTTTTTGTTTTGTTTTTACAAAATGATGGTATGCGTGTTTTCATTTTGTGTCACCTTACTACAAAAAGAACTATGATGGGACATGGTATCTCTACCCCAGAATTTTTCTACCCAAGACGCATGGAGTCAGAAGCGTGAGCACTGGGTTCGAGAATGAAGACAAATGCACAAGTTACGTCATCACAGACCGATGTGACGCATGCGTATGTGATGAGTGCCCAGTCAAGAAACCTCTGAAATCTTTCCTTCCTCATCGTCTTAGCCGAAAACCATGACATTAGAAATTTAAAATGCTTAACTGGCCCTTTCACTCTCACCCCTTAAGCAATAGCCCCTTCCAACCCGCGGAAAAGGAAGATATCAGATTCATTATTTCTGTTTCAATGCTACTATCTTTTTGCTTTATTTCGTGTTACTTTTATCTTGCAGTCTTTGTATTTAATGATTTCATATACAGCTATTTCAAAAAACGTTGTCGGGAGAAAAGCAAAAAGTCTTCAAGCCAAGACCGCAAGGTAGTGTGGGTTGTTTCAAATCCATCTTTTGCTGGCAAACAATCACTCCACTAAACTGGTCGCTGATTTTATTCGTCATTTATACTGAACCATACTTATCATTTTAGTTTTTAAAAAAGCACCAGGTAAAATTACGTTTCAGTCGAAGTGCACTCTTGCTTATTCCCATCTTTGAAAGCAATTTTGTTCAGCTAATTAGCAAGGAAAAATGACTTAAATTTTACATTTTATCAATTTGCATAACGTAGTAACGAAGTGGGCGAAAAAATATTATAAACAAACCTTTTTCCGGATAATGGTTCCTGCTCAAGCAATAATTAAAGCTAGCCAAAGTCTACTGCAGGTGGTGCTGGTGTAGTGCAAAATATTTTTATTTTTGATAATAAAAATAATAAAAATAAAAATGTTTTGCACTACACCATCATGTGAGAATGCATGGACAACCACATCGCCTTTATTCCATCTCGTTCAATTTTTTAAATGATGGCGATTCCTCTGGATATGAATTCTAAAGGACTAGTTTTAAGTTAAAAAAAAGAAAAAAAAATTGTGGTCTGCTGTTCACTTCCCCTATAAAACATGAGACATTTAAACCCGTAGTCGGGCAACAACGACCATGGACAAAAAAGCGTGATGCTCGTGCAAATTAAGTTGTTGTTTTGCTAATTTAAACGTTTTTTGGTTCACGGTCTCTTTTGTCGCCATTGTATTTGCTTATTAAGCTTCCTACGGTTTGAAGGCTCTCCAACCACCTCTGTTTTAAGAGTTGTCCAACGTTTAGAAATACTCTCACTTACAGAAAGACGTTCCATACTGTTCTAGGGGATATACTTGAGTGGCCGCAAAACTCCTATAGGACCTGTAGCAGGTCATGCTAAAAATCCCATATTACCTTTCGGTCTTGGCTGAAACTTTTTGCTTTTCTTCCGACAACGTTTTTTGAAATAGTTGTATACCTTTTTCTTTTCTTTGGATTTTTCGGAGTTTTATTTACGCCATAAATGTTTTCTTTTTTTGATACCGTAAAATTCCGAAAATAAGCCCCTCCATGTATAAGCCCCTCCAAATATAAGCCCCCGAAACTCGTAACGGAAAAAACCCCTCCAAATATAAGCCCCCCGGGGGATTGTACTTGGAAATTGCCCTCAAATACAAAGTAAAACAAAGCAAAAACGGTAAATTTACTTCCAACTGTAAGGCTAGCCCAATCGATTTTGAAACGCAAATTTCCCTCCATAGATAAGCCCCTCCGAATATAAGCCCCTCCAAAAATAAGCCCCTCAAAAAGGCCCTTTGAAAAATATAAGCCCCGGGGCTTATTTTCGGAATTTTACGGTATTCTATAAAATACTGAAATGTAAACAGACTCTACAATTCAGGCAGATTAACAAAACATCCTTTCTTTAAGGTTGATTAAAATGAAAAAGGTTGAAGGACAGCTGTTAGCTAAATAATTAATTTCATGTAAGTAAAGTGTATTAGCTTGTATTCTAAGCCGCAATATATCATGAGCAAAGGCTAATGTATATGTTAACGTTGTTTTTCTTTTGTTTTGGGGTATGGTCATGATGTATGCTAATGAACATGAAACAAAAAAATGATGAAAATTACCTGAGATAAAAAATTAATTACAACATATACAACTAAAAATTTGTTTGAGAGTCTCCTTTACAGCCCTTTTGACTTCTCTCATCTTCCAGCAATAAACTATTGGGTTAAGACTCGAGTTTAAGTAAACTAAAGTCACTGTAAATTCCCTGGCAATGTAAAACGACTGGGAATAATCCCGTCTTTGACTGATCAAAGCATCCACTATGCAATATGGCAAATAACAAACGAGTAATATCATTTGAAGCCACAGTGCACCGCTCAGTGTCTTTTTGTATCGTGTAATGTTCGCTAAGCCTGGTCGCTTCACCTGTCCTTGATAACTATAGTAAGTAGGTGTAACGAACACCTTCCTCTGTCGGTGATGCAGCGTTAAGATAATTTTTGCATAACAGAAAGTCAAAATTGAAAGGGCTAGAAATATACCTACGTAGCTGTACCAAAGAGTTATACGATAATGAACGAAGTACATCGCAGTCAATAAAATGGATACAGCCCAAGCAATAGATATAGCAAGATATGTTCTCGTTAAAGTTACGTCTTGTTTGTACCTGAGCCCCAACAACAAAGCCAAAAGTCTGTCCACGCTTATAACAGTCATGGTGATTAAAGATACGGAACACAAAATATAGCCGGCGAGAAAATTTGCCATCTTTGCGCTTCTGCAAATGTGCCATTGTCCTTTTTCGGCAGAGATCCAATGCACGACCATCAGAGGCTGTGCAGTGATACCAACGAAGAGATCAGTCGTTGCAAGGTTACGATACAAGAGTTTGGACGCAGAACGAACTGAAGAGATCTTGTGAAGTGCTACCAGGATCAGAGTATTCCCCAAAATAGCTGTAACAGATAGAAAGATGTTTAACGCTGCAAGGAAAATCAGGTTATGTTTTACCCCTTCTGCTTTTTCTGGTTGACAGTAGAACTGTTTGTACGTGTTTTCGCCTTCATCCACAGAAGTGTCTTCTAACGCCATTTCTCTACCAGGAAAATATGTCTGTCTCAGCGAAAAACAGTATGCTGTATATGTGGAACGCTTTTCGCAGACAACAGTCTTCAACGTAATTGCTAACCGTTTATTTTATGCTTCCTTATCGGGCGGTGTTTGATTAGCAGGCTGTTTCATGCAAATGCTTGGTACGAAAGTTTCTTTTCTTTTCTTTTATTTTTTTCAAAATTTCTTTAAGTTAAATATTTACAAATCCTAGTTTGGTCTACACTACTTCCACTGTTTTTACCATTATAAGTGACAAGCTCGTGTGAGCAAAAACAAAACGTTCAAAAAGAGAAAGAAAATAGCAGTTTAGGTCTTTTTCCACTTTCAACTGACAGAGGGCTTTGGTTCGTGATACTGTTCCTTTGTTAAATCAAAAGAAAAGAAAGCATAAGAGGCAAGGAAATTATCAATCGGATGAGAGAACCTGGCGAACCGGAACACATCCAAAGATAGCCAATCAAAACACGTTATCTTTAAGTGAAGGGTCGAAAGCATCAGCTGTTTCTTAGTGCTGTGACTGTCATTAATTAAAGTCTTATTACTTGCTTCACAAAAAGGTCATATTTCAGGAAACAAGGACGTGTCGCTTTACATTAACTGTGAAAGGTAAACAGTAGGCAGCTGCTTGATTGGTCATACTCCTTTTGTTGGTTGTCTCGAAACATTTGATTTGTGATCTAATATTTCAATGTTTACATTATTCTTGGTCTTGGCAATTTAAATATCCTCATCCTTCTTTCTCAGTGTCACTGAGAAAGTAAAAGTAGACCTCATGGCTGTAAATTATAATTGCAGTCTGTTAACACCACTGCTGGAAGATCCAACAGGTTCCACCGTCATTTTTAAAGGACCCCAAGGGAGAAGAAAACGTCCATGGCGTACAGTAGCGGGACTGTTTTACACTCTCTTTTTATGTTGACAACTGACTGGTATGTTTCTGTACGCTGTCCGGGTCATAGTGTGCTTTAAACAGAGATCCCTTACCTCCAAATGCGATCCAAATGCAGGATTCCAACATTCAGCGGATTATGAATTTGTCTGGTTGACAACCCGTTCTCTTCACACCATTGTTGTATTAACCGTTTTGGAGGAGATTTGTGACTTCCCTGGATTTAAAACAATTTTTCGTAAACTTAAAGTCCTGCCTGAGTTTTGGACTTTGGTCTGTCTTCTCCTGATGGCTATGTGTAGATGTGCAATGTTGTTAACTATCTCTGGACAAGCTTTGTCGCATATCATAATCGCCTACGTTTTCTGTAATATTTTGAGAGTGACTATTGTTGGGATTCTAAATTTTACTGAACTTGAGACCATAATGCATAGCTATCCCATTTACGTGTTCATCTTTTCTAAGCTGACTTTAGGAACTTTCTTTCTTGAAAATCTTTTAAGCTTTGTAGTATCTCTTCTTCAATTCGCGGAAGATGTTGAGGACTTCACTCAAGAAGAAATGAAAACCTCTGTGGATGCCCAAGTCATATACTGTTTTTTACATAAGTTTGCAACAACCTATTTTAACATGAAAATAGCGAGCTTTTTCTGGCAGAAACTATTCAATGATGATGTTAATTTACTTTCGAGCCATCCCCGCTGTCATGCTAAGTAATTTACGTTGTAGCCGAGTCCATTAGAGAAGGGAAGGGAGAAACAAACTCATGAACAATTCATAAAGAAAATACGAAGGAAACTAATGTTAAGTGAGTGTTTGGATATCAAATGAAAAACTGCTCATTTTTGAATCCTAAATTTTTCCTTCGAAAAGTCATTTTGTTTGAGAAGTAATATGAAGCATTCGACACAGCGTTTCATTACCAGATGAAACACCTCGAAGTTCGTCAAAAATACTCCGCCGCGCGTCGTATTTTCAACTCTCTTCTCGGTGTTTCATCTTGTGATGAAACACTGCGTCTCATGCTTGATATATTACATAAAACACATCTAGCCAGCTTTTTGAAAACATTACCACTAAATAGAACTCGCCCGTCAAACACGGTTTTTTTTTCGGGCCAAAAGCTCCAACGCAGCCCTTATAAAAATTTTAAGAGTGCAACCATTGCTTTTTTCTGGCCTGCTAGTTCTGACTTATAGTGTGCCGAGGCCTAAGTCTAAAAATAGATGAAAAAAGATGTACTGATAAGGATCAATTCTTTGCTTACTTTGCTTTGCCCTCATGTGTACCACGTGAAGTTTCGATCCATTCTTTCAATTCAGCAATGAAACTCAAAACGGGCTGTACATTCAGGGTAATGGTAAGCTAAACAATTGGAGTTTTGAGCCCAATGTTGCAACGTTGACACTTGTTAAATCTCGAACCGGAAATGAATAACATTCGATGTTTGCTCTAGCTTTGGCAACATGGCACTTCAGGTATTTAATAAAATGTAGAAAATTATTACTAAATAAATACCTCATATTTGCGAACTAAACATCATGTTAAATAAAAAGTAATATCAAACTTTGTCAAAATGACATAAAGCTGGCTTAACAATATTATGAAATACCAATTAATCGATACGTCACTACATTTTTGGAAATGAAAGCCTCTTACTAAATGAAGCTTTGGGAACTTGGTTCTTCCCCGGTTTCAACAAGTAATTTGTTGACTATATTTCTAGGTTGTCTGAATAGGTCACGAAAGAAACTCGTCGTACAGTGGGATACGATCCTCCAAATTAACCAATTATACAGCGTGTACCGATTGAGAAGGGAAAGGGTAATGAATAATTACTTTCTGATATTTTGTTTAAGAAATAATTATATTTGGTGAATGCATTCCCGGAGAAAATATTCAGGTAACATCTCGTTTTGGCAGGGACAAGCAGGTTCAGCTTTACCGACGAAGAGTTGGAAAGGTAATTGACAACTAATTGTAACGCCAGTCTTTTCAGAAAGGGTTTTTCATTGGAAGTTTTTCTTTTATTATGTTTTTTTTTTTGTCCTAATTCAGTTTGAATCAGGCCAACAGAGTTCGGTCGCAAGGTTATTTCCTAGATTTCTTACAACGAAAGTTGCACTTATCTGTTGGTTAGCAATCTACTCTTGTCGTGGCTAACATATAAAACAATGTACGTTGTACGTATGTAATATTGGGCAAGTCTGATAAGCGAACGACGCTCACAAAGTGAATAGATGTTCTTTTTTCACTCTGATGACGGGAAAGCAGTTTGTTCCACTTCTGTTACTTGTTATAACCATAAGACTATAATTTTTATAGATGCAGCTTAGACCTCTGTTACCTTACGTCAGCATCGATGCCTTAGACGTAACAAGCCTCCGTGTGCAACGGCGTTCGTCGCTTCTGCTGAAACGTTTTCAAGAACTCTTATTGAACACAACGAGGCCTCTCATATACATCACGTACGCTCTGTTCTTCGCGTGGCAAATGATTGGACTGGTTCTATACGAAATGCGGGCTTTCGAAGCAACTCTCGTGGCGAAGCATGCCAGCTTTCAGTCAACCGATATCGATATGTTTGGGCACTCTGAGTAGCTGCAACTAATCTGGGTGATTTCGCAGATATTTAATGCGTGGCTGGTAATACTTGCTTTGTCAAAAGTTCCATCTTTCCTCGGCTATTATTCCATCTTTAAAAGGCTTGTTGGTTTGTCATCCTATTGGAGTTTGATAGTGCTTTATGGAATGTGTATAGTGGGATATTTACTGATTATCGGGCTCAAAAATGACAAAGCAATGGAAATGGCCTTAATTTTGGCTTTTTTTGTCGGCACAAGGCACTCAGGTCATGTTAATCGGTTTATTGACCTACACTCAGATCAACCACTCTCGGAAAAAGGATTGCCTTAAAGTGTATGCCTTTTTTAAGCTTAACATGTTCATTTTGCAGGGGCACCCAACGAGCATATAGTTCAAAACCACTTAACATAGCATTGTTGAACGTGTTTTAGTATTTAAACGGTAATATAGTCATATTTTTATCCCCTAAAAACTTTTCATCTTTTCGGATTTCCTAGCTGAAAGTCTAGTGATCCGAAAATTATAGGGCTCAAAACTTGCCTTTTCGAAAATTTCAGCCAGGAAAAGGCTCCCGAAAATTCTAGGTGGCCTTTTTTAGTGTAAATATCCGTTTAAAATGGGTAATTATACCATTTTGTAGGTGTTCGAAAATCCTAGGAGAGGCAGGGAAGCAAGAAATTTTACAACAAATGTTTCGAAAATTCTAGTTCTCAAATCGTCTTCCGAACAGATGTTTTCCCGAAAATTGCCGTTGGGTGCCCCTGATTTTGTTTTTATCTTATTTTGGGCAGTTTGTAATAAGTTCTGTCCAGTTTGCCCTTCACATTTATGGTGTTGACGAGGACCTTGGAATTCCGTCCGAATTTTTGTCATTAATTGGCGCAATCCGCAGATTTGCAGCTATTTTATTCTCCTATAGAATCTATGTTTTTTATTGGCAAAAGCTGTTTGCTGACGATAGGAATATTCTTTGTCATCACGACTTTTTGGAACAGTTTACTGAAAATTCCCATGACGGTGATTCATGATTTATTCGAACTAATCCAGCTTAAAATGTTTAGCAATAGACTGAAGAGAGTACACTTCAGGATAGAAAAAGAAAGTTACAGCATGTCATTAAGTTACGTCTTCTCACTGACGAAAGTGCTCTAACCAATTTTTGTAGATAGTAAGGAGTTAAAGCAAGACATTTTTTAGCAACGCCTGTCGACCGGAAGTGCACGTTTTGCAATCTTGGGTCGTGATTTTCAAAAAATGTCTACCAGATCGTCTCTATCAGAGTAAGAAAACTTAGCAGTACAAATTTGGTAGCCTCAAGTCATATGGGAACGGAAGAAGACTAACTTCCGGTTGACGTTCGTCGCTCCAAAATGTCGTTGCTTAAACTCCCTAGTTGTAAATATAGAGCGTGTTCACTTTAAGAAACGTCTGCCGCATTGGTAGCCTGTTCCCTGCTCTCAGATAGTCGCGGCGATGACGTGCAAGTGAAAGACGCGCGAAAATATGACCACGTGATCTGGGAAAAGGGGGCTTCCTCCCGTTTGATTTTCTTGGTCGCGCTTTCTAAATCTCGCGGTCCCGACTATCTCGGAGCCTGGAGCATGGCTGGCCCATTGGCGGTCACGTTGTTGTTCTGAGCCAATCCTGTGGGAATTTAATTCTTCCGTTCTTTTGTTCCAATGAATTTGCACAGCTGCTGGCCACGTGATTGAAAAGACTCCATAGGTGGCGTGCAGGACGGGAATACTCCGTTCCAAGATCGAAACCCTTGCCCTAATCTCAAACCTCGGTAACACTGCATTCCTATTCTACCCTTCAGATTGAAACAACTATAAAAGAAAGTTCATCTGAACGACTTTTAATCACTTTTCTCTCGGATCAAGTCGTTAATCCTACCATACACTGTCCTAGGTAAAACCGTGACACAGAAGGTGGAAAAAACTTTTCTTATTACAGCTGCAAAACGTTGGAACTCTCTACCTATTAATAGAAGATATAGCACCAGTATTAACGCATTCAAACAGGACTATTGTAATTCTATAAAGGAAGGTTATGCTGGCTTAGATAGCTTCTCGTTTCATAATTTTTTATATCGTCTGACCCCTTTTTAATATTACATTTACTTTTTTTTACCGGGTTTTACCTTTTTTTTACTGCTTCTACCCTTATAAATATTTGTACATTAGTTTTATATATTTTAGGGGAGGGCCACAAGTTTACCAGTTTTTAACTTTCATGTGTCACCCTCGGTAAATAAAGTTATTCATTATTCATTCAATCCCTACTAACGATAATCCAAGACAGTCTTTAGTTTCTGAATTCCACGTTGCGGATTTCGCATTCCATGTACTGGTTCTCAAATTCCTTGAGCTGAATTCCGGATTCCAAAGCCCAGGGTTCTCGATTCCACAAGCAAAAATTTCCAGGAATAGGGAATCGGGAATTACATGGGGCATGTCGTTTTTCCTTACCGCAAGAGTTTATTGAGGCGGGTTAATGTTAGCAACAAACCAAGTGAAAACCAAGTGAAAAAGTGCTTTAACTGGCGAGTTCGGGGAGAATTTTGGCGGCGGAGCTTGATTTCATCGAGCGATGGCGGCTCCGCGGCCAAAATTTTCCCCGAATTCTTGCACAAGTGAACCTGCTTGAAGGCTAGGTTCAACTCAGATCACTGCTTTGACAAGGGTTTAGATTCCAAAAAGAAGCAACATTAGACAAAACAACAGAGCCCGCACAACAGAAATTTCCACTTTAGGAGAGGCAGCGTCGTTGGAATGAATATTTGATGTGGGACGGGGAGACAGGTGAAAGAAGCTATTGTTGAGGTCTTTTACTCCGTGGCACTGGTCATATACGCTTGACGTAGGGTACTCGACGCCTGATGGAGGATCTTGTTTGCTTTGACAAAAAGGATTCCACTTACGGAAACTTAAATTCAGCTCTTCCCACTGTTTGGATGATAAATTTTCTACTAGCTGGCATTCATCTATCACGCTTCTCCTCACACACTGTTTTGCCGCGAAAAATTTCCTGTCCAAAAAAATAATGCTAGTTTAATGCGTATCATAACCAGCACAATGTCCTCAAATGTCATTGGTGCAAAACCTGCTTTATTTTTCACTGACCATTGT